CGCAGCTGTTTCCCTTGTTTGTCTCTGTTTTTGGTCGAAAGGGGAGGCTACAGTTCCCACTAGCGGCGAAAATGAAGAACTTTTCGTTGTTGTCTTCTCCGAAAACACAATCTTGTAAAACTCTGGAGGATTCTTTTTCTCTGTTGTCCTTATTGGGCAATATTATTTGTTCTTCACTGCACTGAAGCCTGGCCTTTTGGAAAGTGGGGGGGTGGGGGGTAGCAGTCTGTTCCGTTTTCCTTATCAAATTTTCTTCCCAAACTCTTTCACATGGGGGGGGAGGGGGCTTCCTGAAAACAAAAAAAGACCCCCAGATTTCTCCCTTCCTCAACAGTGGTGGGGTAGGAGTTATGGACAGGATGCTTTGATATAATGAAAGTCATTTGACTGCTCAGCTCGGCCTTTATAATTTCCCACGCAGGTAGCCCTCGGCTTACGACCACAATTGACATTTCCGTTGCTAAGCGAGACAGCTGTTAAGTGAGCTTTCCCCCATTTTACGACCTTTCTTCCCACAGCTGTTAAGTGGATCACTGCAGTTGTTAAGTTAGTAACACAGCTGTTAAGTGAATCTGGCTTTCCTGCTGACTGCTTGTCAGAAGTCGCAAAAGGATAGTGCAACCGTCATAAATATGAGTCAATTGCCAAGTATCTGAACTTTGATGACATGATCCACTGCTGCAGGGGTTATAAGTGTGAAAAAACAGCCGTAGGTCATTCTTTTCAGTGTCGTTCACTTATGGACCTTGTAATTCACTTAACAACTGCAGTGATTTCAAATAGAATAGGAATAGGAATGGAATAGGAATAGGAAAAGAATAGAATAGAATAGAATAGAATAGAATAGAATAGAATAGAATAGAATAGAATAGAATAGAATAGAATAAAAGCGCTCCATGGCATAGGACCTGGTTACCTCCGAGACCGCCTTCTGCCACAGATTCCCTCCCATAGACCGGTACGCTCCCACAGAGTGGGTCTCCTCAGGGTGCCGTCGGCCAAGCAATGTCGGCTGGCGACCCCCAGGGGGAGGGCCTTCTCTGTGGGTGCCCCTGCCCTCTGGAACGAACTACCCCCCGAGATCCNAATAGAATAGAATAGAATAGAATATTGCAAGTATACCAGACAAACGGCAAAGGGAACAAAGCTGTCGCAGAATCGGGCAGGCCTGCTATAAATACTTTGAAACCTCCTCCCAGAGGGGAGCAACAGAAAGAGACCGTAAAGTGGGCGTGTGGGGTCTCTAACAATGCTTTGAGCTCTAAGCACATGTAAGCGCTTATAAGCAGCATCCTGGATACCAGGAAGGAAGAATTGGCCTGCACACACCATTCAAACACAGGGCAAGCCGATTGAAACCTCCATCGTTCAGGTGGCTCTGCGTGCAGCCCGCCGATACTTATTCTGAGCCGCCTCCGACAAATATCCGCAGGAGACTCGGATGTCAGGAGGAGAGAAGAGGGAGTGAAGTGGTGGGCTTAGCTACGAAAAGAGAAAATTAAGGCTGACGAGAGGGCTCTTGAAGGATCTGAAGAGGGGTTAAACTAGAAGGCCACCGTTTACCGAGCTCAAGGTACGCAAGGATGGCGTGAAGTTTCCAAATTACAGGTGCCCGTTGAATGTCAAGAGGAGATTTCCTCAAAGTGACCGTGGAAATAATATATTAGCCATGTCTTCGACATTGGCGTGAAGACAGGGAAACGGACCGGCCAGGCACTGTCCGGGCATCAACCCACATGGAAATACTTCGACCTGCTGCCAATTTCTGAAGTATTTCATTTCAGAATAAGAATCTCAGCACCGATGAGGCCATGGGGATTTTTGGCATCCATCGGACGTCCCACTGGGTTGCCTTCTGCATCCTGACTCTGAGAAGGACTCCAGGACTCAGCGGTAGCAGCTGTTGGCTTTGTAAGCAGGACTGGAGAACCTGGCCTGGTGGCTCCTATCATGAATGCCTCAAACAAAAAGCAGGTCAACATCTACTTAACAAAGGAAGCATCTTGCAGCTTCGCACAAACTCTTGTGGAATTCACGCCATTGCGCAATCGTAACTTTGCTTGGGACCAGGGAGCTGAATTGGCCGCCCAGACAGTGTAGAGATAGTCACCAGGATAACATTTATTTTATTTTATTTTTTTGCAACTGTGAAGTGTTGACTCTTTGCAGGGCCACAAAACTCTTGACTGCTTTTGTGGGATGGGCAAACACACACCCCCTTTAGTTTCTTCCAGTGAGTCAATGCAGTTGCGTTGGGTCAACTCAAAAACTGAATCAATTTCCCGGACCGTCTTTGATTAAAAACTTCTACTAAGCAAAGACCAGGAGGGAGAGAATTCTCCAACGATGCTTCTTACTCTGCAAATGTCACCCTGTCTCTACTCGCCTCCCATCCTGCTTTGCTCTCCATAAACACAGTCCAAAGTTTCCGGGCTGACTTCCTGTTTTCCTCATTTTGGCCTGGCCCTCGTGATCAGATGTCCAACGGCAGTTCCCCCCGCTTCTTGGTGGCTTATCTCCTGATAACACCACCTCTCAAACAAAGGGTCCAGCCTTCCATGTGCCAAACAAAGGAAGTGTGGTCCCGTTTCAAACAGTCTGGCTATGCAACATGTACGCCAGTAATAACAAGGGGTCATCAATAATGTAGAAGGCTACAGGAGACTGGTGAATTTTAAAGCAGATGGTGGACAAAAGGTGGATGGTGCAGTTGGCCCCCATGCCGGACTGTTTTATAAATTGGTGTGCATTCATACGTTCCGTACATCTCATTTCCACTCTCTGGAAAGTCTCAGAGCCGAAGCATCCGCCATTCTTTCTTAAGCTGGAGGGATCATGGAGAATTGTCTCCTGTGGGTTCTAGGTAGATTGTAAAACAGACCAATGAATAAAATTATCTTGTTGGATAGGAGCTTTTGCCAGTTTGGGGTCTCTGGCAGATGACCCAAGTATGCATCTCAAAAGAGGGCCAGCCTAGTGTCTTAATTCTTAATCGAAAATATCCAGTGAGAGGAATTTAGGACAATTGTTTGTTCCTAGGAAGTGTAATAAGTAGAGCGGCTCTAGGTAGTGTTTCTTCCTCTTTTCTCCAGGAAGGATCATCGGATTAAAGAGATGGTAACTTGTCACTGTTGGAGGAAGGAGCTGTAAGGGGATGCTGAAGGCTTATCTCCGTCTCTTAGGTGAGGGAGCCAGCGTTGTCTGGAGATGCTTCTGTGGTCATGTGGCCGTGTATGCCAAAGATGCATGGAAGGCTGTTACTTTCCCACCGGAGTGGTACCTGTTTATCTGCTCGCATTTGCATGATTTCAAACTGCTAGGTGGCAGGAGCTGGGCAAATGCAGGTAGCGCCTACTCTTTCGCTTTCTGTCTTAGCGCCTGACTCCCCCTTAATGTTCAGAGAGGACCTGTTTTTTTGTTGTTGAGAGTTAGGAACGGAAACTACGTTGGTGTTCAGTCATCTTCTTCTTCCTCAGATTGAGGGAAAAGATGCTTTTGGTTTGCTTTCTTCAAGAAGAAGAAAAGGTTAGTCAAATTCTGCTGGGTGGTGCCGGCTGACCTGGCTTTTGAAGGATGGGATGGCCCAAAATTGTGGACAAATCTCTCCTTTTTTATTCTGCTATCCTTTCTCAAGTTCTCTGTCTTTCTGGACTTCCTACGATGAGATCAGATTTCCAAGGAGCATCAAGGCAGCCAAAGAGGCTGCCAAATGAAGGAAGGATTAGTCATATCAAAACCCAACCTTTGCAGTTGCACATCCTCGCTTCCTCTAAAAATAAACTCAAAAACGGCTTTGGAGGAAGTCTGAATATCAATTAGAAAAACAGAAAGTTCTCTTGTGGGAAAAGAGAATGTTCAAGGAACTCCAGGATAGATTTCTTTCAGGGTTGCATAAGTAGGGGGCTCGACAAATGTCTTTGACCTTGAAGAGGCTACCCAACATTGGCCATCATAATTGTTAATTGTTAACATGACAGGGAAAATGACGGCATTTATAAAGAATGAGCATATCGCTATTAAATATAATGTAATTAGCAACAGGAATTCTGCTCTCAATTGTAGTTATATGTCAAGGATCACTTGTAGAGCTACTGGGTCTGTTCTGGGATAGCGTACCAGGGTCTCTAGAAGCCTTGACGGTCATCTTCCTCTTTAGATTCAGCAGAGCATTGTAGGAGAAGAACAGGCACAGCTTGGGGGCGGAGTTAAATATGTCATTAGCCTAGAATCCCTACATTTCCATAAACAAGGAGCACAGCGGCTCGCCTGGTTAGGACGCTGGATTGGAGGTTAGCAAGCTCACGTTGGAGACCCGAGAGCTGCCATGGGCAGGGTTGAGCTCCTGACCTTTGCTCCAGCAATTTCCGAGGACATGAAAGGCGCCCCTGTTCGGGTGCTGTCACTGGCTAATCCTTTCAACCTAGAAGCATCTCGGTGTTTCTGACCCCAGTGCAATTCCCACAAATATCTGAGTCCAGCCCATCGTGAATTCCATTGACCCTTATCTGGTTAAAGTGTTGAACTTGACTTGACCAGATTCTTGTGTACAGGCAGTCCCCGACTTACACCAGTCCGTTTAGTGACCGTTTGAAGTTACACCACCACTGAAAAAAAGTGACTTAGGACCCATTTGCAACCGTTGCAGATCCAAATTCAGACACTTGGCTACCAGCTTGTATTTACGACAGTCGCAGCGTTCCATGGGGGTGGGGGTCACGTGACCCCCTTTTACAACCGTCTGACAAGCAGAGCCCATGGGGAGAAGCCAGCTTCAGCCACGTCCCTAATTTAATAAGTGCAGCAATTCGCGTAACACCTGTGGCGAGAAAAGTCATAAGATGGGGCCAAGCTAGCTTAACAAATGTCTCACCTAGCAACAGAAATGTTGGGCTCTGATGCGGTCGTTAAGTCGAGGACTCCCTGTGTGGGCTTGAATGAATTTGCTATGCTGCAATCTGACAGGGGGAGGGTCCTGATTCTTGGTCTTCCTTCTCTTCCAGGACCAGGCCCCTGCTGGCATCGGCGTTCGAATGCAGGAGCCAGGAGTGCCCGCCAACTCAGGGTCAGTGCCCGCCCCGGCTCCGCCCTTGGTGAATGACTACACCCTGAGAAACCAACTCCTAAAACAGCAAATTATGAGACGGCGGCAACAGCAGCAGCAGCAACAGCAGCAGCAGCAGCAGCAGCAACAGCAGCAACAGCAGCAACAGCTCCAGGTTGGTTTTTTTTTAGCATGCTGGCTGGGGAATTCTGGGAGTTGAAGTCCACCTATCATAAAGCAGGTGAGGTTGAGGAACACTGGTGTAGAAGGAGACCAAAAGCAGATATTTAAAAAAGAAAAAAAAATCCGGGGAAAGTTGCATGAATCTATAGCTGGAAACGGGAAGCAATTATTTTTACATGCATTTGCATTGCGAAGGAAATGGACCTTGTGTGGACACAGCTTTTTGTTGTTGTTGCTCCTAGGAAAAGCAGAGGCATGGCATGATGGGCGTGTCGACTGAGCAAAGGAGTCCCTTTGTGGGCCAACAGATGAACCAGTTTCCCGGTAAGAAGGAATATTCAACCACCACGTGTAATTTTTTTAAAAAGGAAATTGTCGTGTAAGTTTGCTTGCAGAGGTTTCATGAACAGAACAGAACAGGTTTATTGGCCAAGTGTGATAGGACATACCAGGACACACCAGGAACTGGTCTTCGTTATAGAAGCACTCAGTATACAGGTAGTTTGCTTATCAGAAGATGGCAAAAGCGGGTCACAGGACCCCAGGACCCTGTGACCGTCATAAATGTGAGTCAGTTCTCAAGCATGCGAATGTAAATCGTATGATCCTGGGGATGCTGACCCTGGAGAACGACCCTAAGTCGCTTCTTTTTTTTTTTCAATGATGTTGTAACATTGAACGGTCACTAAATCAGCTGCTGTAAGTTGAGGATTATCTGTACCTGCCAAACAACACAGATAATAATAATAATAATAATAATAATAATAATAATAATAATAATAATAATAATAATAATAATAATATCATCATCATCATCATCATCATCATCATCTTATATATAAATAAAAATGTAAATGTTCGTTTGTTCAAAATCTCAAATCTCCGAAAGTTCTTCACCGATTACTTTGAAATTTTGACACAACGTTGCATTCGAATACGCGCGTGTTTTTATATACCTACTATTATATAGATGTCACACCTGTGACAGGTAAAAACATGCTTTTTAAAAAAAACCAGCGCCATCTGTTGGACGTAAAAGCAACACACGCTAACCAGACTGAGCCACAGCAACACGTGGCCAGGTACAGCTAGTAATAATAATAATGATGATGATGATGATGATGATGATGAGTTTGAAGACATGACTCGCGTGCGTCTGTTCCCTCGCTAACTCGAGATCTTCTCATTTCTTCCCAGCGGTCTCGCAGTCCATGGCGACCGACTGCAGCCAGACCATGCAAGCCCCTGGCTCCACCCACCGCCTGATGCCTCCGGCCCAAGGGATGCTGCAGGGCACGCTGGCCCCTGGCCTTGGGCCAGCCGCCGTGAACCAGAGCACCGGAGCGATGGTGATGATCCCCCACAACCCCAACAAGCAGCCCGCCATCTTCCCCCCGAATTCCGATTTCAACCTCCCGCTCCGAGGAGGCCAGAACTCCTTGGGCATGACTTCGGGATGTCAGACCGTTCACAGCCATCCCGCAGGCCGGCCAGTGATGGCCGCTCCCACCTTTGCCGCTGGGACTCTGGTGACCCATTCTTCTGCCCAGCAGCACTTGAGGCAACCGGCCATGGCCCGAATGCCTGCCATCTATTCGAATTCCTCCGCCCCGATGTGGACGCCCACGGTCGTCCCGAGGATGCCCACTCAAAATCCGATGGAGGCCACCTTGCACCAGTTCTCGAACAACCCCGTCTTCTCCAAGCAGAACGTCAGGTCAAGCATCCCCAGCCAGCCCTTTTCCCACCAAGCTGGGCCTCCGCCCAACCAGATCGTTCCCGGGATGCAGGCCAGACAGATGCAAAAAATGAACGTTGGACCTTCGAACCAAAGCTTAATCCCTCCAAATAATCAGAACCTGAGACACAGTTTAAGCAGAGGCTCTTTGCCAGCCACCATGAATGTTCTGAAATCAATGCCCCAAGGGGTCTCGGGATTCAACCAACTCAACGTTGGGCCACCCAGTTATCCAGGCCCGCCAGGGCAGTCCTCCATCACGTTCAACCGGATGAACCCTCCTTTGGAGTTGTTGCCGCAATACGACTTTGTACCACAGCAGAGCAATGCCATGCTACCCGGAGCGTGCAGCGAGGCTGACTTGCTTGACTCTTTGATGAAGAACAGCGTTGGCACTGATGAAGACTTGCTCAATAGTTTGACATTGCTAGACGATATTTTGGGGCAGCACGTTCAGAGTGCCGGACATGTCTGATTCTGGAGAGAAACGGAAGGAGGTGTAAATAATTTGCAGGATCTGAAACGGAACCGAAGCAGGGACAAAAACATATTCTAAATCTTCTTTCTTTCCGAATCGAAAGAAAAAAAAAAAGGATGTCCACTTGGCTTAACTTGTCCTCTGGGTTTTGTTTTGTTTTGTTTTTCTTTTTTTCAAACGGCCGTGTACATATTTGAATATTTTGTAAATTATGTTTTCCTAAACATTAAATATGGAAGTATTTATACTTCTTTGCTGGACGTTGTAAATACCTTATAGACTACTTTTTTTTTCTTATATTATAGGAATTACACTTTGGTCTAAATATGCAAATATTATTGTTAGTTCCAGTAATACTGTGTATTACAGCATCAAATATTTTATGTTTTGACATAACGTATGAATGAGGGGGTACCCTGGAAAACAGAATAAACCGAAAGAACAATTTGCAGTGATTCTTACTTCCATCCTTCTCCTTAGTGCAAATTGGATAAATCCCCGTTTTTTGATCAGCCGCCAAAACAGCTTCACAGAATAGCTCCATGGGACGAGCTCCTACATGAAATGGAAAAATGTTGTTTTTGTTTTTTTTTTCACCTGGGGGTTTTCTTCACGCAGTGAGTATCTTCTCACGGCACAATTTTAAGGGGACGCAAAATTTGGGGTGGGGTGTGGCACACATTGGGAACCCTTTGAGTCCAATCTGGTCTGTGTAAAAAACGCATGGTGGGAACGTTCTCCCCAAAAACCTGATTGCTCCAAACTAGCCGATCCTGGAAATTGTAAAAAAGAAAAATCAATTTCACAAGAAGCAAACTTCTGAGGTTATTCCATGCTTTCTTCCAGCCCTCCCTGTTTATCTTTCTCTTTATTTGTACACCTGCCTAGTTTTTGTTCCTGTTTTCTAACAATTCCTGTGTTGTGCTACCTCTTAAGTAAAGACACCAGTGCTTCGTCGTTTCCCCTCTAATTACCTGGCCTTTGTTTTTGTTTTTGTTTTGAAAAAAGAACCTATTGAACTATTAGGAATCCCAAGGCAGGGGCACCATTGAACTTCTGGGGTCTGCACAGCCTTTCCTAGAAACCTCGAGCAATGTGTTTGCATGTGTGAAGGAACCCCATGAATAATATCAAAGAGAGGTGCAGAGTAGCTTCTTCCTTCCCAAATGCTCATCAGCAAGGCTCCCCCAGTGGGAGTACAGGCAGTCCTTGACATAGGACCATAATTGTATCTGTCTGTGATAATTGTATGACAGACGTAAAACTCATTTTTGCAGCTTTTGTTGTGGCAGTCATTAAGAAAATGTGGTCGTAAAGTAACAGAACACCACGGTCTTTAAGCAAACCAATGTTTTCTTATTGGTGTGGTTTTGCTGAAAACCGGACGTAAGTGCGTTTTCAGGGAAAACCATCCTAAAATACGATCATGTAAGTAAGCCATAATTGTGGCCGTGTTGCTGAGCACCAGATCAGCCATATGACTGCAGAAGGAGTCACCATCATCAGACCTTTGAATCCAGGCTGTTAGGGTGAGTCGTAACTTTGAATGGTTGGTAGTCAAGAACTACCAGGAAGCAAGACCTGCAGATGTTGTGGTTACACCAAGCTGCCGCTGGAGAAATCATCAAATGTTGGTCTTGAGAACGCATTAAAAGGCCAAGGCTATTTTACCAAATTATCTATGCCAGGATGCCCAGATCTAAAAACAGCTCTCTTTCTGATTTGCCCACCTCAACCATGTATATTTGCAGCATACCAATGCTTTGTTCTTGGCTCCAAATGATGATGATGATGATTTTTTGTATTCTGTTTTTAAAATACAGATTCCCCCTCTCCTGCCCCAATTCCCCGGGATAAAGATGTCGATAAAAACACAACATAACTTAACTTTGGATGTTTTTTCTGTCATTGTATATTTAAAGAGTCTGTTTATCAAAAAAAAAAATCCATTGTACTGTACACTTCTTCAAAAAAAAAATGTTCCTACTTTGTGTAACCATATTTTAATAGCCACAACCTCCTCCTTCATTTGTAAAATAACATTCATGTCAAATACACCAAACTGTTTTTTCCTTCATACCATAATAAACTGCCAGAGAAAAATTGCACTCACTGAATGTTTTCGGTTGTTTTGTAAAAACTGGTTTTTTAAAGATAGATGAATGAAAGATGGATGGATAGATGGATGGATGGGTGGGTGGATAGGATAGATAGATAGATAG